TGGTTTAAAGAAAAGTGCTTTTTGGGGCGCCTGGGTGGCTTGGTCGGTTAAGCGTTCGACTTCGGCTCAGGTCATGATCTCACGGTCCGTGAGTTAGAGCCCCGCGTCGGGCTCTGTGCTGACGGCTTAGAGCCTGGAGCCTGTTTCTGATTCTGTGTCTCCCTCTCTCTCTGCCCCTCCCCTGTTCATGCTCTGTCTCTGTCTCAAAAATAAATAAACGTTAAAAAAAAAATTTTTTTTTTAAATTAAAAAAAGTGCTTTTCATTTTTTAAGATGATGAATATACCCAAACCATTAATATTATTAGAATGATTTCCCCCCCTTTTAAAGTTATATAAAACTTATTTTTAGTCTAAGAATTATTAGAAGGTACTAGAATTCTGAAGGGTGTCATCATTTATCACTTAATCCAATGTTTTTAAAAGTAGAGTTTTTTTTTAAATATATATGGACGTGTGTATACACACACACACCATTCACTGACAAATATGTAGAATTTATATCGTGCATTGTATTAAACAGGTGGTTCATATAAAAATGGTAACACCTAGAGGTATAATAGAAAAAAGCTGTCAAGGACCTCGTATGTCAACAGGCCCTGATATCCATCACTTCATCATGGGATCTGAAGGTAAATATAACTAAATTTATTATGAAAAAATAGAGGTTAGTGACTAGTTTTGTGAAAATCTGTGATATTGTGATATAAGATCTTTGAAAGAAAGGCATGTTTTATGTATTTAAAGGTGATTTTTTTTTTAGTTTTATTACTTTAATTTAGTACTTCATAGTAGTTTTTATTATGAGAACATCTTATTAAACATCCTTTTACATTTTGGTTGTTTATAGTTTTAGAGATAACTTAGTCTTTTTGGTATTTTATTTTTATTTTAGACGTTTCAGTCCATGATTTTAGGAAGAGTAGCTGTTAAGATTTAAAATGTTTGCTTTAAAATTTTATATTATTCTCTATTCTTGTCTGAATTAACAGGAGGGAAGGGACTGAGAAAGTATTGTGTTAGTATCTTGTCTTTCTGTAGTTGTATCTTTTGTTACTTGCTATTTGATTCTTTGAAGAAGTGGAATTTAAAATTCTGTTGATTTACATATCTTTTAAAACTTGTTTTTTTTGTTTGTTTGTTTTTTTTTTACTACTTAACTAGTATTCTTTGCTTGGTTACTTAATGCTGGGTGAACTAGAATGTAGTTCTTTATCTTATACAAAACATTTCATTCCTGTACTGATCAGGAAGAAACTAACCTTCCTTCTATATTGCAAACTAACTGTTATGTGGTGAATTTTATGGATAAGATGAACATAGTCTTTATTTTTCAATTTGTAGAATGGTAGAGAGGGATATCCCTTAAATTCGGAGAAATAAGATAAAACTAGTATTTCTAAATTAATGGAAGAACTCATTACTAATTTAGAAGGTGGTACAAGCTAAAAAAGAGATAGACTTTCAAAACATTTAGCTTATTCATGGATACGAGAGCAATTATAATAAACTAAGGTGAAAGGGCATAAATTTCATCTTTTGATAGTAATATCAAGGAGGGAAAAAATTAAACTGTGTCTCAGTGACATGGTAGAGGTCACCATTGATTTGATGACCAGTGGTACAGCTTAGATATTTTTTCATAATAATCAATGATAAACCTTTGTCAAGATGTCTCAACAGTTTACTCTCATTCCTTTTCTGATAAGTATACTCTTCTATGAAACAATAGAACTACATTTTTAATAAAAAATGTTAAATTCTCTTAAAATAATACAATTCTTTGATAAATATTCTATAACTTTTCATACTAACACATCTAAAAGTTAACTAAAATATGTAACTTTTTGCTATCAGGTGTCAAATTGAATAACAAATAGGTATTAAAACTGATAGGTATTTTTAAAAATATATTTTGTATAATTTTTTTGTTTAATTTCATTTTTGAGAGAGAGTGAGCTAGAGTGAGCAGGGAGGGACAGAGAAAGAGGGAGAGAGAGAATCCCAAGCGCTGACAGCACAGAGCCCGATGCAGGACTCCATCCCACGAACCATGAGATCATGGTTATGATCTTAACCGACTGAGCCATCCAGGCACCAAAAGTGATTGTTATTAATTATACTGTTGATGCAATTGGAGTCAACTTTATACATATATATTATCTTTTCAGGTAACCATATCAAACATTTTGTTTTTCTTCCATCACTTAGTATTTTAAAAATTTTGGGGGGCGCCTGGGTGGCGCAGTCGGTTAAGCGTCCGACTTCAGCCAGGTCACGATCTCGCGGTCCGTGAGTTCGAGCCCCGCGTCGGGCTCTGGGCTGATGGCTCAGAGCCTGGAGCCTGTTTCCGCTTCTGTGTCTCCCTCTCTCTCTGCCCCTCCCCCGTTCATGCTCTGTCTCTCTCTGTCCCCAAAATAAATAAACGTTGAAAAAAAAAAAAATTAAAAAAAAAAATTTTGGTTGCTAGGTATTATGCTGGCATACTAAAGGACACAGGTAATAATTGACCTTTATTATACAGTATGATAAATTGTGTGATAGAAGTAAATATAGGAGAAATATAGACAAAGTTTGCATTGATGGATGCTTAAGAAGACCTCTCCAGAGGGGCCTTACCTAAAGCGGTCCTTGAAGGTTGATAAGGAGTTGAGGGAATAAGGTGGGGAGGGAGTTGCCTACAGAGAGAACTGCATGGCAGACTTAAAAGTGAGAACAAGCTATGTCTGCCTTGTGAAGCTGTGAATTTTTCAATATAACTGGAACATAAGATCCAACTGTAGGGTGGAGTAGGCAGCAGGTCTAGGGGTAGAGTGGTAAGGATTATAGGGTGGCTGGAGAGATAATTTGGTCTTTCATGCCTTTTAAAATAGTTTAAACTGGATCTAAAAGACTGGACTACCTCTCTCAATAGTAAATTATCATATGAATTTAAGGAAGGTAAACTAATAAAGATAAGAAATATGATTTATTAAACATATATGCTAGGGTAAATTACTGTATTTAAATGAGATCTTATTATAAATATACATGTAAAATGCCACACTGATCTAAAAGCATAACATGAAATCTTTCAGATCTGGATTTCAGTCCTGGTTCCACCACTTACATTTCGTTGACTTTGTGTCAGTTAGGTAATTCTTTATGCTAGTGTCCTCAGCTATAAAATGGGGATAATAAAAGAATCCATCTTCATAAGCTTTTTGTGAGGATTAAATGAGATTATGATAAGCAGTCTATAAGCATTTAGTAAGTTAAATTTATTACTATTGTTATTGCTGTGTATTACTTTGGCATCAGTGATCTTTCCAATGTGTTTATAGTCCCTAATCTCCATCTCTGTTTGTATGTGGATATAGAGTCATCTTAATATAGGCCAGGAGACAGCATGATTGGGAAAGTAAATTTATGCAAAATCATTTTTTTTAAGTTTTATTTATTTATTTATTTTTGAATTTTATCTTTTTAATCTTTTTATTTAAATTCCAGTTAGTTAACATACAGTATAACATTAGTTTCAGGTGTACAATATAGTGATTCAACACTTCTTTGTATCACCCCGTGCTCATCACAAGTTCATATTCTTTTATAATATGTATTTTCATCTACTATTTTGAACTATCTAAATAATAACCTGCTGCCTTAAGCGTGTCATAAGTTTTTCCTCAAGCTTTAGAAACATTTTTTCTTGCTACAGTTAAATCATGTGATGACAGCCTTGAAAGTATTATCGTTCAAAAATGTATTTTCCTGATCCTACTAAGTTGTACATGTGACTAACCATGTTAAATTTAACGTTTTTGTCTTGTTTTGAGTTGTGAATTTTTCATAATGATTTTTTTCAACAAGCAGCTTCTTCCCATTTTAGATGCTAGAATGTGATCAATATAATGAAAATTATAATAAATAGTCAAAGCATCTGAAGTGCTTTGCATTTTTTTTCTGGTGTATGGAATTTACTAGTAACTTCAGATAGCTTGCTCTTTTATTTGGAAAATGGTTAAAAGTACATTTGTATTTTTTAACCCATGACGCACCCTTGTTTTAGCCTTTGCTCTGTGTTGAAATAAGTAAAATGCTTACTATCAGTCCTTTTATGTAATTTTACTAGTCACCTTTTGGTTAAATAAAGCTAACCCTTTACTAGATTCCTCCAGAAGGGCACATTGTGTATCTCGTGAGTTCTAGAATGTTTTAAACTGTTTTCCTCTGACCTGGATACCAGCAGGACAGCTTGGGTGGATATAACATCCATGGGTTGCACTTTCTTTCCTTGTTTCTTAAAAATGCTGCTCCAGTGCTGCCTGGTTTTATATGTTGTTTTAAAGAAATCTAATGCTAGCTCTTTTGCCTTGTAGCTTCTTTCCTTTTTTTTTTTTTTTTTTTTTTTTTTTTTTTTTTTTTTTTTTGCCTGGGTGTCCTGAGGATTTTTTTCTTTATTATTGAAGTTTACTACTTTTATAGATCAGAGTTGATTGTCCTAGGTTGTTTCGCGTGGTACCCATTGGACCCTTTCTGTGTTTATATTTAGGTCTTCTTCTATTTTGGAAAGGTTTTTTTTATATTATAGTGTCAATGATTAGGGGTTTTCTCCCAGTGTTTTGATTTTTCTTCTTTAGGGCTATAAGTTCTATTTCAGCCCCTATTTCTCTGACCTTTTTTTTCAACTTTTTATTTCATTTTCTTTCTATTGGTTATTTTCTTGCTTTTCTTCAATGCCCTTTATTAAGTTTTCATTTGAATCTATTCTTTGTTCTCCTTTGAATATCTTATAACTTAGCCTTCATTTTTTATATGTTTTGTTGCTGTTGTTGCTGCTGTTCTATTTCTTCCCTGAGATCGGTCATCTCTTGTTTCATTGCTTCTTGCTTTTTGTCCATTTATGTTTTTAGTGTTTGTGTTTTTTTAAGTATATTATTTTGAGAGAGAGAGCATGCATGTGCACGAGCAGGGGAGGGACAGAGACAGGGAGAGAGAGAATCTCAAACAGGCTCTGCATCCTCAATGCAGAGCCCAACATGGGGCTTGATCTCATGAACTTTAGATCAAGTCCTGAGCCGAAATCAAGAGTTGGATACTTAACTGACTGAGCCATGTAGGCGCCCCTTTAATGTTGTATTTCTGATTCAAGTATTGTTTTTAATATCCCCAAATGCTTGCTTGACAATACTTAATTCAGTTTGAAATGTTGTTTGACATTTTTTTTTTTTTCTTCAGGATCGTGGTTGGTTTAGGGGAGAGACTTTTTATTAGCAGAAAAGCTTTTATTTATATTTTCTGACTTACTGCAGTAGTTTTTGTGGATTTGGTGTGCTTTTTTCTGTTGCTATTTATTACTTAGAAAGGGTTCCTAGTTTGGAAATGTCCTTTTCTGTCACTCCTCCTCTCTTTTGTGCTACTTGTTTTTGGATGGTGGTATTGTTGGTGGGAGAAGGCATGATGGCACGTCTTCTTTCTCTCTTATTTCTTTAGGATCTTTAATTTTTTCTATTATACTTTCCCTTCATTACCTTTTCTCCAAGGAATACCACACTTCTCTGAATATCATGCTCCCCTTGCTTCTCTAAGGCTGCCATTTCTGGTTCCTCCCATTTTCAATCCCCTCTCCACAGCCAGGGCCTGTATAGCATTT